ACATGACCCACTAAGTTATAAAGCTGGATGAGGGTCAGCAGCAATGCATTGTATGTGTGCTTAGGTCCAAACAGGTTCTCAGGGAACATGCAAGTCAAATGAAGAAGTTGGCAAGATGCCTATGGTTCCTACTCCTGTTACAATGCCTTCTGCCCACAAACATACACAGCCTCATGGGATGTGTCCTATGGTTGAGTGAGGAAGAGTGGACTAAGGCCTCATTTATGGATATTTTTCATGCTATGCAGGCTCCATTCAGAAGTGGATACCTGCACCATTCTAGCCCCTTTCTGGGACAACCCAGTGAGGGACACTAGGGTTGTGAAATCTTCCTATTCTGCAGAACTCCAGGCAGTGCATGTTATCATATGTTTTGCTTAGAGTAGATGCACCATTATATTGATTTGTGGACTAGAGTCAACTGCTTGGCTGGATGGTTGGTGACTTGGAAGCATGATCAGAAGATTAATGTGAGAGACATTTGGGGGAGGAGTTTGTGGGTGGAGCCCTTTGATTGTCAAAGAATGTGAAGATACTTGTGTCCCATATAGATGCTCACCAAAAAGTGACCTCAGCAGAAGAGTTTAATCACCAAGCAGATAGGATGAGGTGGTCTGTGGATGCTGACCAACTTTTTCCCCAGTCGTGCCTATCAGTGGCCTAATGAACAAAATGGCCTTAGCCAACAAGCTAAGAAAAAGTTACAGTGTTAAAAGGGGTGATTGACTAATACATGCTACCTAAGGGAAATTAGAGTGAGGGTTACTTACAGGAGCATAAATGACTCAAAGACAGCTGCATCACCAAAAGCCTGCCCCAGCATGGGGACAGCTTACGAAAGCAGGGAAACTGGAAAGCACTGCACAACCTACAGGCTGCTGGACAGTTTGGAGAATATCCGTCCTTTCCACTTAGTCAGTTGGTCTGAGTCTCTTCTAGACAAGACAGCTCAACTTGTTTCAGAGTGTCTCTCTGTAGGCCTCAGGACTTATATATGCTTGGGAAGGAGGGGCATGGCGAACTCAGTCAATTTCAGGGACTTCCTGAAGCTATTGAGTTGTTTTCTTTCTGAGCTTACAGAGCTTCTCTGTAGGATGAAATGCTTCATCTCCCCTCAAAACATCCTGTAGTTTCTCTCTCTTTAGAACACCCTGTTGTTCACTCTCTTTAGAACATACTACTGTTTTCTAAGCTTCCCTCAAAGATAGGTTTGGTTTTATTTATTTGGTTTGGTTTTTTTCCTTTTGATACAGCTCCTCACTGCGTAGACAAGGCTGATCCATCTCCCTGTTTTTTTCCTTTTGATACAGCTCCTCACTGCGTAGACAAGGCTGATCCATCTCCCTCTGCTTCCAGAGTGCTTGGATTAAAAGCATTCGCCAATCCTCCTGGCAAAGATAGAAGGCTTTGACTTGGAGGAAATTATTGCACTACAGGCAGGGGCAGGGAGCTGGGGCAATCAAACAAAATTAAGGATGTATGAAAATACTATAAGAAAATCTGATACCTGATAAGCTAATAAAAAATAAGTAAAATAGATTTTGAATGGAGGTATCTGGTGTGAGTGGGTAAAGCTGATTCCAGAAGCCATAGGATATTTGACAATTCCAGTGCCAGGGGTAAGATACCGCCTTATGAGATGCTGGTCAGCGAAGACCCAGAAGACACCAAAACATTACACACAATTGCCACTGCTATTGTTTGTCCTCCAGCTAGATAGTAAGGTCTGATTGCTAAAGATGTCACATTCCTTGGTCAACAGACATAGAGAAATCGAGCTCAAATTGGGCTAGAATTTTCTTCCCTTCCGCTACCCATCATGTGCCAGAATGTGTTATGCAGGCTGCTAGAGAATTTTTATCAATAGTCTTCCTCAGCCGTGAACATTTTGTGTAATAATATCAACTGGCCAGGCAAGATGAGCCTATTAGATAGAGCACTAGTAGCCAGCCCTTATGAGGGGAGCCAACTGCTATCTGATTGGATTTGAGGTTCCACAGGAAGGAATTCAGGTCTGGTACTTGTAAATCCAGTCAAATGCCCATGACTGGGAAGGTCACAGGTCTAGTGAGGAAGCTACTGTTGTTGTTTTGTTTTGTTAATGGACATGATGCAGCCATCAAATTGCCTTCTAAATAACTATGTTTATGTCATAGATTAGTGTTGCTATCAGCCTTGGTCAGAGAAGTGTCTTTTTGTAGTGGTCAGTGGTGACTACAGACACATGTCTGATCAAAGTACTGAAAATAAATGACTTTAACATCCAATGAGACATTTATATCAGCTTCTCCATGGCTCAGGGACTCTCAGAGAATGTAAGAACAAGGGGAAATGAGAGGGGAGTGGTGTGGAACACAAAGTTCTGGGAGTGACATGACTGTTACATTCTTACTCACAACAGCTGTGAGTACTCACACAAGACCTGCACAAGATTAGGACTGTCCATCATCCTTTCATGGAAAGGAAAGGGACTCACTCATCCCCACTCATTCCTGAGGATGTGGGGAGGGACATTCTCTTTAGAGGTGTAGCCACTGATAAGGTGCCATGTTCCTGTGAACAACCCTCATGAAACTCACTGGGACACAAAAACAAAAGACATGAAAATAAAAGAGGGGATATTTGGGAAGAGAAAGAGGATTAGTGTAAATGGGAGGGAGGCAGAAGAGGGTAAGGGGGGTAAATTTGATTAAAGTATATTCTGTACATGTATGAAAATGTCATAATGAAACCCATTATTATTTATAATTACTATTTGTTAGTATAAAAACACCCCCCCCCACCACCAGAAAGATGCAGTTACAGTGTCAATGAAGTAGCAAGAACCTGGAGAGCTGGGGTTTTCCAGAAGGCTGGGTATGCTATGAATTATACCCAATATATGGTTTCTCCCATAGCCAGGATTACAGGTCCAGAAATCCTTGGTACCATTCATTATCACCCCAAGTGAGCCACTGGAAGAAGCTTTACTTCTTGTTTCTATGACCTTATTCCTGCTGGTCTAGAAGTCTTGGTTACAGACCGAGGAGTGCTTTTAGGAGGCACAACAAACATTCCCTTCAACTGTAATTTGAGACCTCTCCTTAGCCATTTTGGGCTCCTGATACCTTAGCCAACTGGCTAAGAAGGAGTTACAGTGATTGACTAATACATGCTACCTAAGGGAAATTGGACTGCTTCTCCACAATGGAGGTAAGGAAAATTATGTCTCAAGTGCAGGAGACCCTTTAGGGCATCTCTGGGTGTTACCATGTCCTGTGATTAAGGTCAAAGGGAAACTGCAATAACCCAATCCAGGCAGGATGAAAAATGTTCCAGACCCTTCAGAAATGAAGACGTAGATCACCCCCTCAAGGTAAAGAATCAAGACCTTCTGGGGCACTTGCTGAGGGTGGAGGGAATATAGAATGGTAGCAGAGGAGGCTAGCTATAAATTCCAGCTAAGGCCACTTGATCAGTTACAAAAAATGAGGAGTGTAGTTGCTATGAATCTGTTCTATGAGTCTGTTCTATTCTGCTAAAAAATGTTTGTGTTGGGGCTGAAGAGATGGCTCAGCAGTTGAGAGCACTGACAGTTCTTGGAGAAGACCTGGGTTTGATTCCCAGCACCCACATGGTGGCTATGAACCATCCTTAACTCCAGTTCCAGGGGAATCTGATGCCCTCTTCTGACCTCCATGGCACTGCTTGACATGGTGCACTCATATACATGCAGGCAATTCACTCATACACATAAAATAAAAATAATAAATAAAACATTAAAAAAGAATATGTTTGTGTATATATACACATATATTAAGCAAATCTGTGTTTCCTGTTCCTTTACTATGTAATATAACAATTGAGATATCAGTCACTAAATGCTGTTAAATCTACACTATCATTTGAGTTATGGGATATTTAAAGACCATGCCTTCCTCAAGGAACTTTGTCATTTATTCTGGGGGAAGATGAGTGTATTTTCAGTAGTGCATGTTAACCTATTCTGACCTTATTGTCTTCACTTGGAAATTAAGCATGACATAAGGAGATATCTATTGACAAGGGATGAGCTGGATGGTTAATTTTGTCTACTTGATTGGATCTGAAATCACCTAAGAGGCATGCTTCTGAAAAGTCCCTCCCCAGAATGGGTGGCAGCTTCTAGAGGTGACCTTCCAGATATAAGGAGTCAGACCTCCTTCTGTGAAGTGCTGTTTGGTGGCCTGCCCGCTCATTTTGCTGGTGAGTGTATCCATCTCTACCACGGCCTACGTTCTCTGACATGCCCCTGCTTCTCCACGTTCCAATCTGGACTGAAGACCAGTGACTTTCCAGGAATCTTCAGGCTTTCAGTTCCATATTTGGGACTACTAGGCATCCAGCTTTGTGCACTGAGCAACTACCTGGTTCTCAGCCTCTCCAAAGTGCAGACAGTGATTGTTGGACCACCAGCCACTGCAGTAAATTTTTTTATATATATATACACGTGCTATGGGTTGGTTCTGTTCCTCTAGAGAACCCTGTCTAATGTAGTCTGCTTATCTCTGGTTTTTATTTTCAGTGATGTTTTGGTATCTGGGTTTCCTCGGCTCTCTCCTTCCCAATCTTTCCTTCTTCGTAGGCATTATCTCAGTAGGGTCTCCCCCAAGCAAAAAGGAGCATTGCTGTATGACCCTTGACCTGAGGGACTAAATAGGTATTTTTCACTGCAGTCTAAAGGCGTCCCACCAGTTCATTCCGGTTCCCTCCGCCCTTCGTGTCTCTTCTATCTTACTGTGTCTTTCATAACTACTTATGGTAAGAACTCAGTCTATATTTCAGTATTTATTCTATTTAAATCTATACCCAATCTTTCCAGTTCTTTTTCTTTAGTCCTTCAGCAATTAGCTTTTGAGAAAATTTAGTTTTGTGTTTTTTGTGAGGACCTGGCCCTAGAGTTCCTCCCCAGCCCCATATGACAGAATGGCAAATCTGTTAGCCTTAACCCTGAATTTGTTTTTCAGGTAAGATAACACGAGATGGAGAAGGTAAGGGGAATTGAGCCCATTCCTCTGTTCACAGTGAAGAATGGCATAGAGAACCCAGGACTGGAGTTCATGGTAATTCAGAGTCGTGGGCCATGCAGGGGCTTTGTAGTGTCCTTGGCTGCTCTCTCCATCTCCCTCACCTCTGACAGGGCTCCATGACTCACCCCAATTCTACCTGTTCTTATAGGAAGGAGGAAATCCTGAAGGAAGCAAGAGCACCCAGGGGTACAGCATGAGGGGCAACCTGGGGCCTCTCTCTTACCCAAGGTAAGGATGTTCCAAAATCCAGCTTAGTTACCATTCAAAGAACCTGGTATGGATCAAAGGTACCCCATCCTCAGATAGCTTATCTCATGAAGGAGACAAGACCATAATCACTGCACATCACCACATGTACATGTTTGTATTTTGTGGAATTTACTGAAGTCCATGACCTCAACAAGTTCATCAGGCTGGTTGGGCTGACAACAAAACTAATAGCGATGGCAGCAGTAATAGTACTAACAATAAAAATAGTGAACATTGAACACTATTATGTAGGCTATTCCATATAATTAATTTTCATAATAGCACTAATTTTAATACTTTTCTTAAATTAGAACATTGATGCTTAGAAATGAACCTACTTATACCAATTTTTTAAAAGATTAAAAAATTTTCTGCAATGCTCAGATTTAGGCATGAGAGAAAAGAGAAATGATGTGGGGGTAGAGACAAAAAGACTTACTGTGAAGGCTGATAAGAAAGAGATGGTATCTTGGAAGTTAAGAGAGTTTATTGTAACTAATCAGTAAGTCTTTATCTTTCTACATTTTCTTTTTAAAATAATATTTTTATTTATTCTTTGAACATGTCATACAAGGTATTTTGATCATATCCATCCACCACTACCTCCCTCCAATTCCTCTTAGTAACTCCCGACCCATCTTCCTCTCAACTTATGCCCTCTTTTGTTGTTATTGTTAATAACTCCTGAATCCATCCCATATAGGTATGATGGGTCTGGGGCCATCCACTGGGGCATGGGCAACTTACCAGTGATCACATCCCTGAAGAAGAGTGACTCAGCAACCATCAACTGCCAATAGCTCCTTCACCAATGGTGGGGCCTTGGGGGCTCCTTCTCTATCCATGCTGGAATGTTGACTGGCTTGATCTTATTCAGGTCTTATGCAGGGAACCACAGCTGCTATGAGTTGATGTGTACAACAGTCATGTCATGTCCAGAAGTCAGCATTTCAGTCTCTTCCCCGTCTGCTAGCTCTTACATTCTTTCTATTTTTACCAAGATAGCCTTTGGCCTTAGATGGAGAGAGGTTGATATAGATGATTCATCCATAGCTGAGCACTCAGGGTTACTTATGATCAACACTGACCAGCTATGAGTCTGGTCACTACCCACAGCAAAAGAAGCTTCTCTGACTGTGCTGGATAGCTTTAGTGTCAACTTGACACACCTGGGTTGAGGGAGCCTCAGTTGGGGAATTTCCTTCATTGGAATGGCCTGTGGCCATATCCATGGGGCACCTTCTTGATTGTTGAGTGATATGTGGGAGGGCCCAGCTCACTGTGGGTGGTGCCACACCTGGGCATGTGGGCCTGTGTCACATAAGAAAGCAGGCTGAGCAGGGGCCAGGGGAGCAAGCCAGTAAGCAGTGTTCCTCCATGGCCTGCACTCTAGCTCCTGACTCCAGATTCCTGCCCTGAGTTCCTACCTTGGGCTCCCTGATGAACTGTGACCTGGGAGATGTAAGACAAATAAACCCTTTCCTCCCCAAGTTGGTAGTGGTCAGAGTGTTTTGTCACAGCAATGGAGAAACAAACTAAGACAGAAATTGGTACCAGAAGTGGGGTATTGCTGTAACAGACCTGACCCTGGTATTTTTAGGAGGATTGTGGAAGTGTTCTGAACTTTGGGCTGGAAAAGCCATTGAGTGCTCAGAGTTTGTTGCTGTGGAGCTTGGAACAGTTATGTTGAAAGAGTTGTGGACAATTGAGGCCTGGTTTGTGAGGCTTCAAAGGGAAGCAGAGACTATCAGGGCTGTTCATGTGAGATTTTGGATTGAGAATCTGTGGGTTCTGGTCAGCTGGGGCTGAAGAATCAGCTGTGATTAAGAAGAGACCAAATCCTGAAGCAAAACCTTTACTTTACTGGGACAATTGATGCTGGTTAGCTGGGGCTGAAAAATCAGCTGTAAGTAACAAGAGACCAGCATCACTGAGGTGAAATCT